TCCAGGCAATTCTATGAATTCCTGTGAGTGTTACGGAGGTGTAGTGCTGTGTCTTAGTGCAGTGCTCACCAGAGTGTCCTTTGGATACAGTTTTCGGCCTCCACGGATTAGCTGCACCAGCTCCGGTGAGGATTCCCAATTTATTAATTGGTGAAGGGATCTCGATAGATAATTAAGATTCGTTCTGATACGTTCTCGGCTCGTCGCTCTCTGTCTCTCGCACTATTTGCCGGACTCTTACTCCGACCCTCTCTACCTCAAACCTAGCAGCCTGAGCGGCCGTGCATTTCCGTAACCGTCCGCTCCCATTCGTGTATCCAGTTGCGTTTGCTGATTTTACGCGACCCCAAAGATCAGCACCTACGGTTGCGTTTCTCGATTTTACGCGTCCTCAAAAATCGACAGGATCCGTTAAGCTATCGCCTCGTATGATAGGTTCCGTCAGAGTTCTCATTCTTGGTGGAGTTGGGCCTGTTCCACCCCAACTCCCAGTTTATACCGGCTCGTCAGTTCCCGGTGAAAAAGGAATTGGGTGGCGCCCGCCTGGCTTGCGGATGCACGAACGACGGGTGGACGGCCGAAGGTAACGTAGGTTGGTTCTCGAAGATAGTCGTTCCCGTATGTTTTGCTATCGGTGTCGGGTCAAGTTAAAAAATTACGTTACAATATATATATATATATTCATCGAATAACTGAAAACCTAATTTATAGATTGATTTCTTTTTTTCTTTTCTCTCTGCTTTTTGTTAAAGAAAGTTTAATTAATAAATTTGTTTCAAGTTCACAATTAAAAGAATCGTTACAATAATAAATATATATTATGCCTCCGAAAATTATTATTATTATTATTATTATTATTATTATTATTATTATTATTATTATTATTATTATTATTATTATTATTATTATTATTATTATTATTATTATTATTATTATTATTATTATTATTATTATTATTATTATTATTATTATTATTATTATTATTATTATTATTATTATTATTATTATTATTATTATTATTATTATTATCATCATCTAAATCCTACATTCCCACCTTAGGTTTAAAAAGGTTAATTTGGCAAAGGATGAGTAAAAGAGGGACACATTATAACAGTAAAAAACATGTTTTTATTATTATTATCATTATTATACAAATTATTCTTAATACTACTACTATTACTAGACTTATATAGGAATATTTTTGACCGCCTCCTTAATGTTTAATAAATTTTCCAATACTTCCTGTACCTTTGGAGACATTAAAAGCATATCACTCTTGGAGTGTGTATCGAAAACCGTAGTAGTAGTAGTAGTAGTGGTAGTAGTGTTGGTGGTCATAACCTGTTCCTCCGTAGGGGGTAACGGTGACGAAGCAGGCTCCATTTTTGTCGTTATCTCAGCATCGTGGAAAATGATAATTACAGGAGGCTGAGAAATCTTCTGCGGAATCGTGAGCTGCGCACATTCAGCGTCCAACTGCTGACGCATAACGGCTATATCATCCAGATTGTAGGATTTTATACTATAAACTTAAATAATAAATGTAAAATTAAATTCTTTTTAATAAAAAATATATAATATAGTTACAGTACCTACCACTTTTAGACTCTACTTCCTCCTCGTACAGTCTTTTCACGCCTCGTTGTGGTTGAGGAGTAAATGATGCTGGTACTGGTGGTGTTAATGATAATGATTGTTGTGGTAGTGGTGGCTGTATTGGCAACAATGAGGGAGCTGGTGATGGTGGTGATGATGACGATGATGGTGATGGAGGTGACGACGATGGTGTCGATGCTAATATCGATGCCGGTTGCTCATGAATGACAGCCGTTGTCACTATAATCGTAGACGATTTTATTTCAATAGCTGTGAATAAATTTATGACATTAGTACGAGCTTTATTAGATAGAGAAGTAGAAGTATATGAGCTACCACTTGGGTACCACTTACGATTTCTAATCATCCGCACTCGATTATCACGATCTTCACCACGAATTTTTAATATTTCGTGACATAATTCTATAGTTGCCTGGTGGTCCATGCAGCCCTTTTTATACTACTGGACTATTTTTGGTATCTTCGCGTTTTCAAAAATCCTGCGTACTACCCTCAAATCTCTATCAGGCTCATTCGCCCGATGAAACTCCTGGCACATCAAATCCATCAGGAGAGATGTAGCAGGGTGGTGGTGTAAAATTTTCTTAGGTCGCACGCCATTATGTTGTTATTCGTTTATTTTGGATACTGTCACTTTGAGATGTTTGTAGTTAATACTGAAGTGCTGCACCATTTCAATCCGCTATTCATAAAAAGAGGATGAACTACCCCTACCACACAGTGGTCAAAAATGTGACCATCCCTTCCACAGATCTACGAGTTTTTTTCTTATTATTGAACAATGGGTAATGCAATAGGTCCTAGGATTTTTAGGGGGTGGTGCAGTTTTAGATAACGGCCTTGGGAAAAAATCGTGCACGCCCAGTTTAAGAAGATAAACGTTACAGACTGTGAACACTTTATTTATTTTTTTATTATTCCTTAAAAAGTGTACATAGTCGTAGGACATTACCATAGTCTAAAATTAGATAAATTTACAACATACTGTATGGTACTGAATCGTAGTTATCGACTAATCGTCGCTTCACAAAATTACTCTTAAACGTTCTTGTTTCGTTTCGTGTAATGACATCGTGCATTTTGTTTCGACTTAAAGATTTATAAAAAAGAATTATCTCCAAATCTCCTTCGGGAGAGAGATCAGTAGTTGCAAAAGATTTTAATGTGTCAAAGTTGATGCTTTCCGTATTTACATAGTTAAGACATAGTTAACTTTACAAATGTAATTGGTAACACCTTTAGAGATTTCAACTTTGTACGCAGAGCATTTGGGACCACACGATGTAAACTCGCTTGTATAGATACCTTGTCCGTAATCTTCTAATTCGTCGGTTAAATCGCCTAAATTCGTCCCTGTTTCTAAATCTTTAGAATCAGAAGTGCTCGACCGAATGAAAATAATACTATCCGTATCGTAATACAAGCATTGTCTACCAATCTTCTTAAGGAGAGCATACAGTCGTAGTCTAGCCTGAGCTGTTGTGTACGCGGCAATCGCAACGTTCGTAATTCTCGAGGGTTCGATAGCATCATTTGTGTTACACCAGTTAACATATACCACATCATCGCTTATCGGGAGAACACTAAGTATTTCCTTTTTAGGATCACTAACTGTATCGAGGAATGTGTGGCCATTGGTTACAATCGTTGTTTTTGGTTGATTTTCACGCTGACCAAATTTCCTCCAGAATGAATTTAGACATAATTTTGCAACGGCTCGCAATCCTGAGTTTTTCGCTACGCGCTCACGATTGAGTGCAGTTCTTTCAGCCTTTTTGTAATCATCAAGATACTTCTGTTTGCTCTCCTCCTCGATGCACGCTACAGGCCAACCCGAAGATTCCTGTTTTACCTTCAAGAATGTATCAATATAATCGACGAACAAACCACCTCTACGTGTACTAGAATCGTACTGACTAACCTCGTATGGCCATATTTCTTCAATTTTCGTGATGATATAACCCATACTGACTGCTTTCTGAAGTTCAACAGAAACCCACGTACCCGTAAAAGCCCTATCTTCCGAATTTTCATGTGTACAAAGATTCTGATTTAACTCATCACAACAAGAACGACGTAGCACGAATATTAATTTACCACGCATTCTTACAGGTAAAACAGGATGATACAAATTTCTCAGCGATAAAACAGTATATTTTACCAGCCCTTGAACTTTTGATATGTCATTATCATCGCCTGTAGCCTCTTTACACTCGTCATCTATATACACTACAGGATGTCCCACGGGGAAGTTGTCGTAATTATTTACAGTGAGATAGAGCGAGATAACATCGAGGTATCGAATCTGTTCTCCCTCGTTAACCTTATAGTATGTTTGAGTGTTACCCGTGCGATACCCGTAGAACGCGTGCCTCGGAGCGCCCATGTAGGGTAATTGGAACGGGCCGATGCTTGGGCTAACCTCGCTGCCGATAGTGCCAACATTGGCATCCAAGCTTGGTCCAATCACCGAGCAAGTCTTGGATGATAACCACATGCCAATGTTGGCAGTCAACATTGTTCCTACGAACCTCCAGCTTCCTACGAAGGACGACTAAAATCTCGAGTGTCGAGTGTCCTCGAGAGATCACCTGGCGCCCAACAGAATTCTCTTATCGTGTGTCGGGTTGTAAAATACCGAAAACAATTGAGAAAAAATTATCCGGCGTTTTGTATACTTTTTATACTAATTATGTATTATACTAAATAATTATGTATATACTAATTAAGTATATTTTATACTTTGTAACGTAATTCTTTTCCTTGACCCGACACCGATAGCAAACATACGAGAGCGAACTATCTTCGAGAACCAACCTACGTTACCTTCAGCCGTCCACCCGTCATTCGTGCATCCGCAAGCCAGGCGGGCGCCAGTCAATTCTTTTTCACCGGGAACTGACGAGCCGGTATAAACTGGGAGTTGGATTCGAACAGGCCCAACTCCACCAAGAATGAGAGCTCTGACGGAACCTATCATACGAGGCGATAGCTTAACGGATCCTGTCGATTTTTGAGGACGCGTAAAATCGAGAAACGCACCCGTAGGTGCTGATCTTTGGGGTCGCGTAAAATCAGCAAACGCAACTGGATACACGAACGGGAGCAGACAGTTACGGAAATGCACGGCCGCTCAGGCTGCTACGTTTGAGGTAGAGAGGGTCGGAGTAAGAGTCCGGCAAATAGTGCGAGAGACAGAGAGCGACGAACCGAGAACGTACCAGAACGAATCTTAATTGTCTATCGAGATCCCTTCACCAATTAATAAATTGGGAGTCCTCACTGGAGCTGTTGCAGCTAATCCGTGGAGGCCGAGAACTGTATCCAAAGGACACTCTGGTGAGCACTGCACTAAGACACAGCACTACACCTCCGTAACACTCACAGGAATTCATAGAATTGCCTGGATATCGCGAGAACAACGCGAGAACTGTACGAATCGAGAACTTGCTATACCGTAGCGAAACACGGCAAGAAAAACTATCAACAGATAGCACGGGAGCACGGCCAGCCCGTGACACCTCGGTCGGTGCCCCGAGACATACTGCTTTGACAACAGCCAAATCCGAGAACTAATCATTCAGATTGGTCGAGAGCCTTATAACCGATAACTCTTCTATCTCCTTCGAGCCGTCCCTTTAAACCAAATCGAGAGCGTTCCTTAACGAATCGGTACGTCACTTCTGGAGATCCTCCACGGCCGCTTCCCCAGGGCATCGGGCGACAGCTGAGCACCACATCCCTAACTCGCGCAGGAAGTTCCTCTCCTGCCCTTAACCGTATCAAAACTACCTCCGGCCGCTCTGCAGCCTTTTGCCCATCTCCAGCGGGGCGCCGGTATTTCATCCGGGCTTCTGCCGGTCGGTGGAGACGTCTCCGTCGGGTACTCTCCTCTGCCGGGCAACTCGGTACGTCGAGACTATCTCCCCACGGCAGACTCGAGCACCTCGACCTCAACTAAACAATAATGAAATCTTACGAGAGCCTTGACATAACTATTCGAATCAACCCGAGAGCGTAGCTTCTGAGCAGGGTGGCGACCCCAAAGGAACCAGAAATCGAGAACGTTATCTGTATCGGTAACCGGAGTCGCCTTGGGACCGTGATTCGAAAAATCACGTCATAACTTTTATACTAATTTAGTTTACTGAGATTTTTGTTGTGGGAAATAACGTCGCAATTCATCGAGCTCGCTTGAGGAATGTGACATCTTCGATGTCAATATTGCGTCAAACCAAAGATATACTGACCACTTCATAGTATTACATAGTTTTTCGACTCTTGATATTTTTATAAGGAGCTGTTTAACAGACACACGTAATAATTGACAGACCGGCAAATTTGATGGTATCAGTTGCGATGTAAGGCAAAGGAGCAACTGTTCGATTCGCCATCTCTGGGCGAACGCTATAACTTGGTCGAATCTGCACAATGTGATCGCGGTATTTGGGACTAGGTGTCCATACCTGGCCATCGCACAGGAAAAAACGTAAGATAATGTAAGCGCTTGATCAATGAACAGACTCCACTAGACCATAAAATGTTATGGTCTAGCGCTTATGTTAAGTCTTACGTTTTTTCCTGTGCGTCGCCCGAAGGCCATTCTACAATGCAACGGGACACGGGACACGGAATACGTAACATGGCGCGATATTAAATTGTATATTTGCAAAATTCCATTGGATACTCCAATTAAGATAGAGAAAGTTGTTTTTAAAACCGAGCGTTTACTAAATCTCTACGATTTTGGCTACGTCTTGGACATAGCACGATACGGAATACGGTTGCGAGGGTCATTAGGTATTTTATGGATCACGGAGCGTGATGAGTAGCATCGAGCATGCCCCGTTCCGTGCACCGTAACGGGCTTCTGCGAAAAAAACAATTGCTCCGCCAATATTTTCATTCGTGAAATGTCATTACCTGTCATCTGTCATTACCAACTCTATAGAAGAGGTCATTATTATCAATATCGTTAGAGAAATTAAATTTCTCTACGATAAAAGGCATCATGACTTTAAAAATGAAGTAATGATTTACTTGTTTAAATGAATAAACGCATATACAATTTTGTAAAATATTTATACAGGGCGAATCACGAATCGTGATCAGTAGAGATTACTTTGTTATTAGCAGTCCGATCGGAAAAAACTTTATCAGCTTTTGCATGGCTTTTTAATGTTTTTTCAAGGTTATCTTGAATTTTTTGCAACTGAACATATAATTTTTGTACTCCTGTCTGTTAGAGGATTTCAAGGCGAATTCGGCACATGTAAGGACATGAAATTTTTTTCATCTGGTTCGAGAGAAAATTAAAAAACTTTACATCACAAGGAGAATCACAGCTACGCCCTTATTACGCATCCAATGTTGTTAGCAAGTCAAAATTTACCAATCTTCATTGTAGCAATGTTCAAAATGGTGTCCACGAGCTGCAATGCACTCACGTAGACGGCGAACAAAAGATTGTTTTGCATTTTTTATGGCCTCTACACTGATGGTTCAGCATGCATCCACAGTCCTTGTGATTCTCCTTGTGATACAAAGTTTTTTAATTTTCTTTCGAACCAGATGAAAAAAATTTCATATCCTTACATGTGCCGTATCCGTCTTGAAATCCTCTAACAGACAGGCGTAAAAAATTATATGTTCAGTTGCAAAAAATTCGAGGTAACCTTGAAAAAACATTAAAAAAAGAGTTGACCAGTAAGTTTTCATTATCACGCTAAAGCTCTCTTGAAACCATGCAAAAGCTGACGAAAACATTTTCAATCAGACTGCTAATAACAAAGTAATCTCTACTGATCACGATTCGTGATTCACTCTATATATTGATAAATAATGACAGGTAACAGATAATGACATTTTGTAGCCGTCACCTGTTGGAAGCACGCACCCTGAGCAACAGTGGGTGAAAACCAACTAGGAAAGGCATTTCCAAGGGCATACCATTGAAGGAGGTCACCAAGGGCAGGCAGAAGCATGTCCTTTAAACAGTAAACACTCCTCAAGGGCCTTAGGAACCAGCATAGGGTGCCGACCTCGATAAGGCCACCCAACTAGAAAAGGCATTTCCAAGGGCGTACCATTGAATGAGGTACCAAAGGGCAGGCAGGAACATGCCCTATGAACGGTAGACACCACGGTCCTTAGGAACCAGCATTGAGTGCCAACCTTGCCAAGGTCACCCGAGGACACACCAACATCCAAAGGACAACTGCACCAAGAGACCATACCATTAAAAGGCCTCAAGGAAAAGGGACAGTGAAACAACTTTGGATAAGTAACGAGACAATCCGAAGGGCAAACCTTCGCATGGTCCCCACCCTCAAAGATAAACCGGGACCTAAAGGACGACCTATGTTGCGAACCCAAGGTTATCGGAGGGAGGCCAGACTTATTGCGAGGCAAAGTAGAACCCCGAGAGAGCATCACCACTAAGTTAGAAATTTCTAGCATAAGGCATTAGCATTAATGAATAGTCATGTAAAACCCCTGATGGGGGGCGAATAGTATAAAAGGAGCGCCGTTTCCACCAAGGATTCAGTATCAACAAGAACCTGAACATGTAACAAGTGTAGTAAAAGTCTCCAAGTGAATAAAAAGTTTTGACAGTATATTAATTAAGCTCTGTGTACAACATTATTTCGACCCGGCCAGCCCTATGGACTTTGAATACGGATATAACTGTGTCACCGATAGGGAAATCAGGGCATCAAACCGAAAATAGCCGGGGCGCAGGAAAGAACTTCAACACAACTACAGGGTGGTTGAACTCTGAGGTGGAGAAGGAGATTCACACCGCGTAAATATTAGAAGGTTCTGCCAATTTGGGCCGTATAACACAATTGGGTGGCGACCGTAATAGCAAAGAATGTGCGTGGGGAAAGGAGCCCCGCAAAGTGTTCGGCACTTTGTGGCGACAACGTACCTGTATTGTAGTCAACCCTAGGGCCAGCAAATAGCTGAACGTCTAAGGGCGCATCGGGAGTGAGGAACAACCCGGATAAGATAGTACACGCGTACAAACGGCTACTCCACAATCTACGGCAAGGAGCACGAAGACTCTGAAATCTACGTCCAGGACAACGAAGACCCCAAAATCTACGGCGAGGAACACGAAGGCTCGAAAATCCACGTCCAGGAAGACGAAGACTCTAAAATCTACATCCGGGATCACGGAAATCTATAGCAGGAATACTTCGGCTTCTAACTTGTAATGAAAAATAGCATTGTAATATATTTTAGCCACCTTGTACGGGTTTGCGTCTGACAGAACGCTTACCTCAAAACAATTGCGAATCGTGAGTTCGGCGTGAAGCTGCACGAAGCTAAGGCGCTCCTCCAGTATCAGGAATTTGTCAAAAACTGAGAAAATTTCGGACGCAAATATCTCTCTTATTATGTGGGCAATCCGTCCGAATTTTTTTTCATCTCTATTATTTTTTCTTGCTCTACAACTTTTGCATTTAACTTTTTTCAATATCATTTGAAATGACAAAGATAATTTTTTTTATTTGCGACCGGAAGTTAAGCGAACAATAATAATATGCCCATTCGATGCGCAATCAAAAAATATTCAATGGTTGTGACATCAGATTTTCGAAATTGTGCACCGTGTCACCGCAAATCTCAAACGTGCATCTGGGCTGATACACTCTGTATATAATTTTATAATAAATAATCATTGATCACAGTAATAAGTTATCATTGTTATACGTCTTGTTATTAATGAACTCAAGTGAACGGAATTACACTCAGCAAATCTAGTAAAAAAAAATTGTTATAAATGAGACTTAATTTTATTTTCTGAGATTACTATGTAATTTAAAAATGTTTTCTTCAACAGCGGAGCGAAAACGGGCAATTCTCGATTGATCAAACGTGAAGGATTGAAAAGTTGAATATTTCAATGAAATCAAAACAAATCAATATTTCTAACAACTGTAATTTTCATTTTGGAAAAAGATGTAAAACAATCTACGTTGCATTGTTAAATTTAAAAAAATGCACTTTTCAGAATACGATTTTCATTGTGATTTTTCATAAATTGTAATATTTCTTATTCGATGCATTATGCTAGAGTCATTTTAAATGTGCATTCTCAAGAAGTTTCAATGTAATGTTCGTATAACTTTTAAATTGTGGTTATGGTTACTTCAGGGGAGCTTCGCCCCCCCCCCCGAAACCCCTCGCCAGGGGCTTCACCCCCTGCACCCCTATCGGGGGCTTTGCCCCCTGAACACCCTTCCACCTCTGTGAACGCATTGCCCGAGTTACTAAATTAATCTGCTGGATTGCACCGAACCGAGAATCACCCACTACGCGGAAACTCGCGTTTCCTCCGCTGTTGAAGAAAATTGTATGTGAACCTCGAGAAAAAACAGGCGTTTGCGCCGGAAACACCCGTTTTCGCTCTCAGTCCACATATACTATTGTTTGCAAACTCAGGAGATGTGACTTAAATAATTGAAAACAATTCACTGCTGGATGGCCCGCAACACGAATACCAAACCTCGTTGAAAATGGTGATCTAAAAATGTTAAACTTCCCTTATGAACTGACAATGGAAGATTAACTGTTTTGGGTCACCAGTACCTCTAGAATTACTGCAAGGCTGAAATGTAGTTGCTAATTGGTCAATCGAGGTATGACCGACTAGTACAGCGCTAATAATGTGTCGGATTTTTATAAAATATATTTAGAGAACAATGAAAAATGTAAAAAAGACTACATGACAGTAGAAAATGTTCTGAAGAACTTGAATTAATCTGCGTCCATAATACACAACGCAACCAAGGACTTCATAAAGCATATTGCATATAACATGTTCACAGACATGCATACATTAATTCTCGTTTACGCAATTGTTATCGGAAATAGGACATGTATGTATGTGTACACGCGACGGTAAATATGTCTATCCAAAATTCCGGATGAACACTGAACTGATTGAGTTTAAATTTAGATAAAAAATTATGTTCCGAGTATTGATAGAGTAATATTAAAAAATGGGCCACGCATAGAGCTTGAAAATTCTGTATTTATGACATTAATTTATTTTTACGAGATCTGCATTAAATTTGATCGTATGATTCGCGAGGTCATGTGTTAAAACATATATGTTTCAAACATGTACAATGTATGTATTTCATGCAGTTTTTCCTAAACCATACCTCATCATAACTGGCGCCTAAAAGTGAATCCAAGTTGACAGCTAATATCATGTCTCCAACTTGTAACCCCGCCTAGAAATGAAAATTAATAGATTATAATACACACAATACAATAAAATTATAGATATACGGTGTTAGATAAATCTCAAGACAAACGAGAAGGAGGTGATTCTTTAATAGACATTCATAGGATTATCGAAATTACGGCTTTCCCTTCTCAAAATCAAATTCAAGAAATTTGTCTTTAAAAAATTCGCTGATGGAATACAAGCAAAGTAGGCTGCATAAATAAGTATGTTACGTGGTGCGTTAAAACACTTATACACTTTTTTTTAGTGCGTATTAGTGATAGATGTATTGAAAGGACACACGAAGAACGTATTGTCTGTAAGAAGTGTATAATTTTGATTTTTAAATTTAATTTTTAATCTGCATTAAATTTGTTACACATTTAAATCTGCGTTAGTACTGTAACTCACCACGTACAACGCATATAATTCGTGTTAAATTAATGCCTGTAGAAATGAACTACATACTTTAGAGTAAACGACACACCATTCTTTTAACGCATATGATAAAATTACTCACTCATTATATATTTTATTTATACATTGTATCTTATCGATATTTTCAAAAATAAACGTGTACAATTTCGAAATATATATGTCAGAATGGTTTTATGAAGGAATTAATTAGATATTATGACCTAATCCTGGGGTCAGTCGAACACAGATCAGAAGTCAGTCTCAAGAAATCTAAACTAATACTTCGGGGAGGGTTTTCTGAAATGAGGGAACACGGAGTAGAATACACTAAATTATAATTATTAAGAACTTCAGGTACAAAGAAAAAGAAGACAAATAAAATCGGAAACAAACTCAAAATATAAGTAGTAGTATAGCTTTGGGAGTTCTGGACCAGGATTCCTGTAACCGACATTTACCGACACTTTAGAACCTTCGAAGGTAGGTGTCCGTGCTAAGTTGCCGTGGTAAGCTCTACGATTTCCGGAAATAACATCACTGAGACCCCTATTTTCTAGGAATTTATGGGGCGATTCTAGGAATTTTACTTTGAATGCTATGAATTTCACGTTCGATTCTAGGAATTGCACACGATTGAAAATCTTCTAGAAGCTTCGACGGTTCGCGTCCGTTCTAAGTCGCGGAGGATCGCTCCTACAGCCGACGGTCCTCTTGCGTGACGATTCGAGGCAGCCCCTTGCCCCCCACCCCGGAGAGCCTTCTAGAAGCTTCGATGAACCCCCTCGCATCCCCGTGTAAATTCGTGCAAGTTTCGAACGGTAGCCCTCAGCCGGTTTGACTTCGAATGTTATATCGCATGGTCGCGGCAGCTTCCTCATCCCACGGAGAAGCTTCGCGAAACCCAACCCCCCAGCCTCGTGCAGGTTTGTGCAAGTCGAAACGCTTCTCGCAACCTTTCTGTAGGCGCAGTGGCGGGTTCAAAGTCATCTACGTTCCAGAGAAATCTATACAGTGGGTATAGATTTGGGTGGGTATAGATGGGCTTGGGTGCACCTAAGCCTAATCTGCTACACATGTGCAGCTGCTAATCCGGAAATTTCGTATATAAGAAACTCCCTCTTATTTTTCATCCTTTGTTCGGCTTATTCGAATTTGCAAATGACGTTTCGTACGTAAGTATTGCTTAGACTTTCGAAGTAAGCGTATTTCAGTCACGAATAAAAGTGCAGTAGTTGTTGAATTGAACGATGGACAAAAAAGGCAGCCGAGATAATCGTGGACGACCGGACCGTCATAGGAAAAGGAAGTTCCGGGGGAATGCAACAACAACCGAAACCGATTCGATTTTCAAGTCAACTTCAGCCCAAAAATGACGGCATGGCCAGAATGATGAAGTTTCGCGGGATAGGGATAGTAGTTATGTGATTTTCATTTTCTTTACGGTATTTATGGCAATGAGGCATATACGGAGTGTAAAAAATGTTACAAGGAAGTGAAATTTGAATAAAAAAATTTAACTGGGCTCAAACATGATAAGCCGTTCAACGCAGAAGTTTTAGCAGTCATCCGACCCATATACGAAGATGTGGCCAAAGAAGAATTGCTGGAGAGATGTCTGGGGGCCTACACACAAAACGGCAATGAGTTTTTCAATGCTACACTCTGGAGCTGGGCCCCAAAACATCTGCATTGTGGTCTTTCCTCGTTTGAAATCGCTACATACATAGCGAGCTGCTTTTGTAACGAGGGATTCCCCCCAATCCTGAGAATTATGTGTGCTATGGGTCTGCGCATTGGTTACGAGGCTCACAATCTTGCAGCTACGCGCGACGACGAGCGCATGAAGCGTGCTGAAAGGAGATCATCTTTCGGGGTCCAAGAAGCACGAAATGCTGAGAGAGAGGCTAGGAGTGCTCAATACATTTCTACTTGAGGAAGAAAGACCCCAATATGGCGCCGGAATAGCCGATTGAGCGTAAGTGACTGAAATCAACGATTATTTCTATCGATTCGTACCGAAACTTTAAATGCGTTTTTCTCGAAACCACAATTTTTACACTTGTGCCCACGATATCTCAGGAACTACTGAACCGATTCATCTAAAATTTTCCCAAGGTATTCAGAATATACTTCGCTATAGCTCCTACTACGGAGAATAGTCTACATAAAAAATTACGATCTGTACAACTTTAGGAAGACTGACAAAAGCTGCTAAATTCAAACAAATTCGTTGTCGTGTCACCATTTTGTGATTTTTAAATTTTTCAATGCGACCGCAGTACCGTCTATAAAGGGTCATCTGAAAAACCAGAATACACATGAATTTTTTGTTCCAGATCAGTCAAAAGGTCGCAATCGTGAATACCAATGAAATATAGCGCCTTGCGATCCAGCACAGCGAGTGAGTACGACGCACTGAAATGACTTTGAAAAATTTGTACAAGCAGACAAAGTGTCATTAAATATGTATGCAAAAGGACTTTTTAATAGGTCTTACGATTTCAGCACAATAAATTCATGAAAATTCATTGAAAAAATTCAGATAAAATGTATCTCCCCCCTTAAGGAGGTACAAGATTTTAAAGATTAAGATAAAACGACTGTTTTTATACTCGTTCATCGCTGGCATGTCGACATTATACAAGTGAGTTTATGTTTCGATAATGTCACATCACCGAGAGCCAACGCCGCAAGTATAATATCGTCCCGATTATCAAACAACAGTTGCATTAATCCTAAGATGTAGTCGAATACCAACTGTCAGCATACAAAACTTCATATTATCTTTATTACCGAACTCTATAACTTTCCTAGCGTTCCTCGAACTCAAACTCAAGACATTATTAATAATATTGATCACTTACAATAGTAAATCTTGTTCTTAATACTACGGAAAAGTATATTATTATATATTTTAGAAGCAATTTCTTGTTGTGAAGATTAAAATAGTATTCGAAGAAAATGAAGGATAGCTTACAACAAAAGTAATACCGGCCTCAAAAATGTAAACACTAAATGGCTTTACTTTCATACATTTCAACAGTAGATTATCTTTTGCACCACGTAAAGAATTTTTCCATGATAGAGAAATTCAAATAATGAAAATGATTCAAGTTACACCTCAGTTCATTCTAATGTGCATTGTATTTGAAAGGTTTTCTGAAAACGAATGATATAAACTCCCTCTTACATGAAAAAACGCTCATATCAGATGTCATCCTAGGTCGTCTATGGAAAGAGACTATTTTAAAATCTCATTAAAAAATTCTCCTACTTACGGTGCTCTCCTCTGACAGGCAACTAGTTTCGAGACTATCTTTTGAAGACAGATTCGAGCACCTCGACCCAAACTTAACAAAACAAATCTTTCCGACATCATTGGCATAACCGTGTACAAATCTATCCGAAGGAAACCAAAAAGCGTGAACGTTATACGAAAGAATAGCTGGAGTCATCTTGTGACCGTAAATTGAAAAATCACGTCACATAAGATATAACACTTTGGACAGTAATATATTTTAATCAACCTCCTTCTCTGTGTACAGCTAAAGGTATTCTAGAAGTATTCAAGGTATTTTCGATGTTCATATGATAAATTTGTTATTTATAGTAAAATAAAGCATAGGTGTAAGATGATATTCGTTAAATGGTATTGTCCCCGTTAAGTATCACATTTTAACCCATTTTGTTTTACAAGTATAGTATAGAATTGTTAGAATAGAACTCTTTTAGAATACATAAATGAGAAAGTCATCTATTTAATGACTACAACCATGTAGTCTGCAAGTATCTCACCTGTTCAGCGGCACTGCCTTCTTGAATATCCGAAACAAATATTCCTTGTCCAACTTCGGCGTGCTTGCCTTCGATGATCATAATACCCAAACCATATTGACCCTACAAAAAGACAATTGATTTTTACCAAGAACATGTAAGATATATTACTCAATTAGAATTATCACGGAATGATATTAGATCAAGAATTATAAGTGAGATTTCAACAATTACAGAATTAACAACTACGCGATGAAAAATTGTTATCAGTGATTATTCTACTTGTATAAAATGAATTTTCAAAAGAGCGTGATATCCACTGATGGTATGATGGAAAACGATCCAAATCCCGGTCTCCTAATAGACATTTTTATTTTTATAAGATCTGGGCTTGACTTTGTCCCAACTAGACCAGCGTTTATATATAAATATAAAATAAGGGTTGCAACCCTTTGGGTCATAAACACACCTCATATCTTCGACTTCTTATGACAAATATTTTCCACTTGGTTTTATTAAAAAATATTAATTAGAAGTCGAGATATGATAAAGAAACGATTTTCAGGGGTGAATTTCAGAGGTCGTTTTCACCCCTTTAAAGTGGATGTCAGCACAAAAAAAAATACGTGTCTCTTATTTTGTCGAGTACTACAACATATCAAAAAATGATTGAAATCGGTGGGGTCGGGTTGGGGGGGTTTCCTTGTTAGTATTATTGGCCTAGTCTAAGCAGGTCTTGCGGGCTGATTCGCGACGTCATCTATGCTCCGTTTAAACGCGCTCTGATTGGTCGCATTACTGCAACTTCAACCTTGATTATCTCAAAATTTTGATATATGAAATAAAAAATGAAAATACACGTATTTTTTAGAATTTGACAAGGAATGCAACGATGTTACTACAGTGTGTTTCATAACGAACACCCTGTATAGGAATGTGGTATTGCTGATTCTCATACCCAACTTCGAAAATTCTCATGATATACTCTGCGCTATAATATTATTTATACGACATATCTAAATTATACTATTTGGTATATTCGTGCTATTTAAATTATTGTAATATAGTGAAGAATCGTACGTACCTTCTTAATAGAAACTGTATGAACTCCCTTGTATTGGCTGAAGCATCTTGCATCCTATAAAGATAAATTCTTAATGAGAAATTATTTGAGAAATGTATATTACACATTTTATCGAAAGCTTATAACAAATGAATTGCAGCTTATCACGCTACTCGATTGAGTTCTTTGATATTGACATATAAATGTTATTCGATTCGAGCACATAAATGCTCCTTACGAACGTATTTCTCCACGAAACTATTGGAGTGGTCCAAAGGTTCTATTACACTTGTGTCGAAATATTTCTACAAATTATTGAAATGTTCTGGACGGTTCCGTGCAAGCATCTATCTTTTGACTGAGTGTGCGCTACCTATTGCAGATTCTAATGATAGATATGTATCAGATATACGGTTGGCAAATAAATAAAACTGTTGTACCGATTATCGAGTATTTAATAAAATTTTGTTATTTTATTTTATTTTACCAACCTGTTTCGACTACATTCTTAAAGACGCCAGCCCTAAGCACTTACCTACATCCCATTTCGTACACTAATAAGGAGCGTACGAAATAGCACTACCGAAAAACGTTACCATACTTATCTAGTACTGTCGGTAAAAATAATGCATATGTAGTGTGTATAGTATATGTATGGGTTGGGGTATAACAATATAATATGGGTTGGCCACGGGTATAAGTGGCTGTGTATATGTATGGATTGGCGAGTGTCGTATATGTATAGGAGGGCCGACACGTAACACTACTTTAGCCATTGTTATGTCTAGTTTAGTCAAGATGTCATTTATCGAGCGAAGAACTGCCAATTGATCATCTTTAGGTGGATAAACAGGACATGCACTACGTACTGCAGTGACAGCTTCATTATCAGTATCAACGGCAAAACTCGTCACACCACACCAGACGTGAAAATTATGTTTTCAAAGTGCTTTGGTTATATGGACAGGCGAAGGGGTTTATTCCCACCCGACCCTTTTTTGAGGGTAAAGGAGAAATTTATGTTTCTGATAACACGTGAATGTCCGGACTTGGATGGTGATTAATACCCATCCGTGCCTTCTGAAAAAGTAGAGTCCTTGCACACTAAGCGGGGGATTGATAGTCTTCCATGCTGTTTGATTATATGACGGGAGAGGACTAGCCACGGGATTGACACCGTGGCGGTGCCTTCAAAGGTGCTACGATGCTGTAATTTAAATTATTTACAAAAAGTGTGTGTGAACCGCAGGTTAATTTTAAAATTTTGAATTCTCATGTCGTTCTAAGCTAAGCTAAAGAAGAAAGATTGATAAGTTATTGTGCCCGCAAACGTGATTCACTTGTAGGTACGCTGGCCCTCGCTCAGTCACTGAGGGTACTTGGTCACGCGGTTGGCGGGGAGGGGAGGAGCGCGCGCGAGCAGGTCCGACGTCGTTACGTCTTTCCGTTGCTACGCGGAGTCGAGACGTAAGAGCGCCACCAAATGTAGCGACTATAATTACTGTACTATGATTACGTAGTTACTGCGTACGGGTTTGTGAACCATATTTTCCAACGTTACGTTGGGCTTCCTTTCCTCTAAACTTCATGGACCGGCCAAACAGGTATTGAAACTCGCTGTTTTAATGCACGTAAGATGAAAAAGTTTATGCTAGTCAGAAACAAAAGCATCGTATATTTTGTTGAAAAAAAATGCATTTACGATTAGTAAGTAATATAAAAAAAAATGTGAAATGTGTTAGTGGATTTAATTCTAAGTTAATCGTTTGTAAAAGAAAAGAAACTTTAAGGTATTTTGTGTTTTAAATACTTGTAACTTTAAAACGGGCCGTACGATAATTTTTAAAAAAACTTCAAGTATTCCTCTCATCTGATTTTATAATATATTTCTTATTTATTAAAATTTGACAAGTAGTTTTCATACAAAAATAAAACATGATGTCACGATACGCTCGACATACACTTGTCCCATATCTAACATGTGAAAACTTCAAACTCTGACATTGTTTTTTTATAACGTCGGGACGGTGAAACTCAAGCACCATAGGGTCGTTTTGTAGGTAATAATTCAGAGAATAAACTTTCATAGTTTTAGAAGACTCTGACGAAAAAGATTTTACGATATAACTACCTTAACTTTGATGATCATCCAGGCATCCTCAGTTCATCTTTGCTGCGTTTTCCTATTTACTATACAATATTCGTTTTGTCTACACATGACGAAGTCAAATATAGTGAATATAAACTCCTTCAAAGGAGGAACAAGAATTCTTCCAACTAGTTTTATAACCACTAGAACCGATTGGAAATAATAATCTGTTGTATTGCATTCTTTTTTTATTATTTTATCGTACAGTGATCTGTCATCGATCGAAGTCTCGTGGGCGAGCTATCGAGATACAGAGGAGAGGGCGATCTTCTGTATTCCTTATGCCTAAGGCTTTCCCTTAAAATCAGGATCAGTGTTTAAACAACGTTTTCCAGTTTTCAATTTTCAGTTTACGCAATGCATGAGTAAGGTGCCGGTCTGTTCAGCGAGGACTAGCAGAATTTTCAGATCTCATAAAATTGGTTGACAATTACCAGTCTATTTTGTCGAGGTACCTCGCGCCCTCAGATACTTTGGAGATGGAAACCGAAGCCATCTGTCCTCCAAGATGCCGCTAGGACCGAATAGTTCATTAATTCTTCGCGTATGGCTGTCTTGTATGTACCGAGCATAACTACGTGGACTAATGACTCCGCGACCTCGACACCCTCATATTGAACTCATAGCCTTTGACCGCAATGTTAAAGAAATGTGAACAAAAACATATTTTTAAATACACTATTTCGTTTCAATTATTATGAAGTAAGTATGAGATTTTTAGCATTTACACTTTCATGCATTTTTTAAGTGAATTTTTCAAGTCAAAAAGTCTCATCTAAAGATGAGATTAGACTATTAAAATAAAAAAGTCTAACGAATGTTTTGGAATTTTATTACTGCTATTCGATAGAAAAGAATTCATCGTGTACTTCGGAATTTTTTAAAAATTTTTTGCAAAATTTCGTTCGCAAAACGAAGACCTTGAAGTTTCGATACGAGTCAGGACATAAAATTAGTTTCAAATATATATTGTTAATAAAAATATTATTATATATTGTTGTATATATATATATTGTTGATAAAAACATTATTTTCCATGTATGCAGAGTGTTCCGAAATTACCTGACCAACGGGGTATGGCGGTGTTCGAGAGAGTCCACTGATCATAAAAATGACCTCCCTTTTCTCCGGAAGGTCATAGTTTTTAAATGAGAGCAGGTCAAAGTTCCAATAGGCATGTATTCGACTGACGTCGTCCTGCCCAAAGCCACCGAGAAACCAAAGCGAGGGAAGAAAACTCAGAGTTCGTAGGTGCCTACGTTTTTCTTGACACCTCTTTTTGATTGGTCAACTTTGACCTGCTCCCATTTATAAACTATGACCTTCCGGAGACAAGGAAGGTCATTTTCGTGATCAGTGGTGCCTCCCAAACACCGCTATATCCCGTTGATCAGGTAATTTCGGAACATCCTGTATATCAGGATGAACATTGTTCTTCGAAAAGCACCTCACGAATTTGTAAAATCATGAAAATGGGTTTAGATATAATAATTTCTATACCGCGCAACGTAGATACTTACTGAACAAGATTCCAGGTTTACGATTACGTGCATTCATTTTTCTTAATTTTATCCATGTATATGACCCTTCATTATCACACTTACTTTTCAACACCCTTGAAATTTACGGGGAGATGTCAATTCGCACCAATGTGATAACAAAGGATCAAAGCTATATAATTTTATTTATTTGTTAAAATGTTTCTCATAATTCCTATTGATATGACTAAATTGCATTACAAAGTTACTATCTACCTATTTTATTCTATCACTATTTACGTCTATTTAAAAATTATTAGAATATTCCTAAATGTAGCAATCGATAACAAATTATTGTTATTGTGAGGCGCTTAAAAAATGTATTACTTGACAAATGGTATTGAATAATTACGTGGGTGTTCGTAAGTTTTTACAAATTATTTTATAAACCAAATTTCTAATTAGTAGGACATGGACCATTAAAATAGGTTGTAGTACAATATAAAGGTTGAAAATAGGATTAAATCAGAAATGATAGGAATTCTAGGTTTAAAGCAGAACTTAAGAGTCGAAAAAAAGCAAAAGAGACTTAATTTACAACCTCGAGGTTTAACGTAAGTTTAAAATTTCGACTCAAATAATGCCTTCTAAATTCTACTTTTTCAAAGCCATGAGAACGATATAATAATAAATGATGCAATGTGTTAATACAGAGGAAGACAAAAAATGATAACTTCAATAATATATTATAATGGTTGAAACTATGTAAAATTAATGGAAAGAGAAAAGTTTTCCCATTAACTTAAATAATAAAAAATATTAGACTTACGTCATCTTGAAGAGTGGGTGGAAACTGGACGATGGGTTTTACTGCAAGATCGTTAACTGCCGTTGATCGTCTAGAACAAAGTTATTTACAGTCGTGTAATGAATTATTCACAATAATACCTGTAATGTAAAACTTTAATCTAAAAATGCAATTTCCTGAAAACGTAAGAACGAATCATTTAATTTAGATCACACTCCCGCAGAAAAATTATCGATAGACCCTGACTGAGTTCTAGCTAATTTGTCAAGTGTCAAGGTAGCCACTAGGTAGGAGACTGTCAGGTCCCAGGTTGGGTTGTAACGTTCGAAACGTGTAATAGGGGAACTGCCTCAGCATTATAAAATCATTAGGCATTTTACTAAGCTAATTTAATGGGTCTTAGGTAGGACCCTGAAATTATCCACTTTAATTGTATGTTTCCCCCAGCTTAATGAAACTGCAAGGGAGCGTACGTGAAATATAAAGTGATCGGGAGTATCTTTCAAAACAAAATTTATCATATTGACATAATAATTAGACTTGTGAAGTAAAGTAGCATTCATACAAGCGTCTGGATGAACATCCATCCATACCTTTGTAATAAAACATAGATAACGATTGTCTCTCATATAACTTGAAGAATGATATCGGAGCGTTCAATTTTGATATTATGAGGTGATTTTTTTGAGTTCATAATTCACATTCGAATTTTCATAATAGTTCCGCCATTTTGAATTTTCGACCCCTAATTCCGATTTAGCGATAAAAAATAATAATTTTCATAGATCTCCAATAATTTTCTAAAATTTCTGGATAACATATTGGATCCACCATTTTGAATTCGAAAATTTTTATCTCGGATTTCAATTCTGCGACGCCTAATATATCTTATACACCTTGAAATCTGTCGTTCAAAGCGCACTAACGGTGCTAGTTAAGGTAGTGTGGTAGAGTTTGGATGAAGTCATATCAAAAGCCATATATAATTTTAATATAAGTTTTTAATAAATCGTGCCCGTTTGTGGGTTTCGTATTTTTGCACGAAATCTCAGGTCTGTTTAATTTCTCGAAGCCCCTGTTGTGTTGTTTTTTTGTGGTTATAGATTTCAGATTTAGATATTGTTTCCCAGACCCAGGACCCCACCGCATAAGAGCTGGCTAAGGTATATTCTGGAGACAGCGGCGTAACTCTTGTTATACCTGGCACCCAGCAATTTCATCTTTTAATAATTATTTCTGGCGGTGCCATTTATTTGTGCGATTACGTCGTCACAATACATATGTAGAATTACCCTTGCTATACTAATTTTCATAATCTAAGTTTGTCTCTTAATTAACTTAAGATAAATATCGGTTATAATTTCAATTAATTAGAGCCAACATAGTCAGTTTAGAAAATTGTCTAAGAATCTCAAATCAGTAGGCGTAACTTTTGGTAAGATGTATTGTTGGAGAAATCTAATAGTTATATATGAATGAACGAAACACTATTAGGTACAATTCGATTTGCCCAACAATACAACTTACCAAAAGTTACAAAAGACAAGAAATCTGTTCATAATCTGAATTTAATGTAACTGTATCTATGATGACAAACTTACCGGAGAACGATAACTTTGAAACACGTGCCAGGCATACCCTTGATGAGCGCTGAGGCATTCAGGTGACACCTGCCTTGAAGTACAGTTCCATTTACCTATAAGTAAAAGCCAAATGATGTATCACAATGCGAAATAATATCTTAAAATTAAAATTTATGTACCATTTGAATTGTATGGAATACCAATTGTAATCAATATGTAAAGTTGAAATTTAAAACTCTTCTGTCGTAATAATAATTGTGATTATCTCTAATATAAAAATCAAAGAATTTATAACCTAAAGAAATATATATAAGTTTCTACATATTATTAAAGATATTCCAGGCATATCATATATTACATGTAACGATCCTATGTTTGTAATGCATTTGACAATATTCAATTCCCAACAATTTTGACAAATAATAATTAAAAAAATGTTACGGTTTGGACATCTTAATTCTATGTTCGTTCACCATATTTCTATATATTTAAACTATTCACCCTGGCAAAAGTATTATTTAGAACTTTCAAACTGGAAGTGCTGCAGATTTCTAGTGTAATGTAGCCTCTCGAGGATGTTTCGTTCTATACGAAAATAAGGCATCAGCGAGTGTAGATGTCGCCGATAACAGGAGCCGAAGAAATGCCGGCGGGAATTGTGAAAGCCGTGATAAGGAGGGTTCACAAAAAGGAGAGTAGCAAAGTCATAGCAGAGTACTAAACTTTCCAGCTCTAGTTCCGATTTTCTAGTTTCCGATTCGTTCTCTAACGTCCTCGTTCGTCCGCTCTCAGCCTTCTACAGTACTTGCTTGATGCTTACTCCGACCCCCTCTATAATAACGTACAGTTTGAGCGAGTTGCTTGAGTTTTGTTGATTTTACGCGACCCAGAAAAGTCAACGCTTTCTGTTGTATTTTTCGATTTCACGTGACCGCAAAAATCAAAAGTATCCGTTATCCGAGTTCTCGTTTTGTCAGAGTTGAGACTGTCCAATCTCAACTACCGGACATTCCTCGCACGTCAGTTTCCGGTGAAATAAGAACTGGCTCGCGCCCGTCTGGCGTGCGGCTGCATAGACGAAGGGTGGATAGTCGAAGGTGGCGTAGGGTAGCTATTGGATTAGCGTTATCGGTGTCGAATTTAGAAAATAAATTAAAATATATACCACGGTCCGGAGAGATTTGAAAATCAGAAATCTTCGAGTCCTTCCTCCCTGCTGTATTTCTGCTTTTAATACGTATAAAACCTACGATGCCTGAACGAAAAGTAACCAAAAATTGGTCCGACACGAAACGTGATAATTACTTCTTGGTTTCGACCACACGTATATGGGACAGATTTTGGTGTAATACGATTTGGCAAGTTTTGAAAGACCTGGAGAGTAGTTTTTCTTAAATTAAAATTATGGTATCAGTTCTTCTTTTCCTCGAATTTTTCTTTATGTTTTACAAATTGGACAGTGGCGAGATAAAAAAAAACCCAGGAGGAACCGTTTATCCCGAGCGACTTTGGATCTAGATTACGAACAGGACAGGATATGATTCCTCCATGACCCCACTACTAGATTTACCAGGACAAAGGAAGTTCACAATTTCGAAAAAATGGATTTTCGACATTTTACATATTTCGATAATGAGATCCTTTGAGAATATCTCCCTGTTCAAATTTTTGTGAAATTCATAAAATTGAGAAATATTCACAAAATCGCGTAAGTATGATTGGTCTAATGAAAATATTGAACCGAAACTTTGAATGCGATGGTATATACAATAAAGTTACCTAAATCCTCCCAAAAATTAATTTTCATGCAAATCAAAAATCCTTCTGTATTTCTAGTTGCTATATTGTGTTACATGCCGTACTTTTGATCTCGACTTTTTCTCATATGTGCAAATAAAGGAAGAATACTAATAAGATACAGTAATGTAACGAAGAAATCACGCGGGTCCGGAGATGCCGACCACGGCATTACGTGAGGAACCCGGGTAAAAATTTTGCCAGACGTACATACGTGACAGCATCCCCCCTTAAGTTTCGACGTCCTCGTTGATTCGATCGCTTTTGGCGAGCAATCTGTGTGTTTATAATATGAATATTCTACCAAGGTAAGTATAGATATTATAATATTGCTTAAGCTTAGGAGTACGTTAACAAATGCTGTGCTATAATTCAAACGGGACTATCGTTTTGATAGGAGGTTGTCAGGGGCTGCCACCTTGCAATTTCCTACGGGTCCATGCCCCTCCTTGCTGCCCCCTTTTATCTCATTCGGGGCCAGATTCTTCTCCTTGGGAGTCTCGCGTCCTTGATTTCTCAATCCTACGAGTGAACTTGAAGGTAATGGATAAAGTTATTATAATCCCAGAGAGTGATGGCGTTTACGCCTTGTTTATCTGCGGGTGCCCCCTCCCCTGGAATTAAAGGTGTAGTTGGTAAGTTCCTACTATTACTGTTTATTACTTGATATCAATACTATCCCAGAAGGATTGTTTCACTATCGTTTCCTCTGCTCTTAGGATAGGGCGAAAATCTTAATCCCGCCCTGATAGAGCCGTCGCATGCCACGGCCCATCATCAATGAGCGTCAGGCGATACAGGAACGACGCATGATGTTTCTCCGAAGGTCATTCTACACGGGAGCCCGGAAGGTGACCCCCTGGGCCTATGAAGGCTTCTTGGCGTAAGCTCTTAAACGGAGGCCGACACACACAGTTTGTTGTAGACATCAAATAAAGAAAAAAGATGTACGTTGAATACTCGATTCTTTCATTCTCGGTGTCCTTTATACCTTACCCAGAGATAGCGCTACGATACCGTGTGAATGTTCGTTTGGAGTTAATCAAATATTCCAATACCAGTAGTAATCGATGCGGGCCTAATCTCGGGCTCACTATTGTCAACAGTTGTAATTCCTGAAGCGACGTTGTGGATTTGGTAACGTTGGCCAGTATGTTTCCATGTTAGAGGCATTGCTCTTCCTGCCTCCCTCCGTGTTGTTCTTCCAGGGTGTCAGCCAATCACAACACCTTCGTTTCCGGATATTTCTCTGACAGAAATATGTGCAGAGAAACAGTACGAGGAAACTCTGGAGGGAGAATCCAACATTGGTCAAGCAACGCTGCTGTTGCTCGTTCTTCCTGTGGGTTCCAATTTTCACGATGTTCCATTCGATTTCGAAAAGTGATTCACCGTCTTCATGGTATTTCCACGATTAAGGCTTTCCATTGGGTTCATGCGGCATTGGTGGAAGTACCCTCCTATCTGGGTGATTCTTCCTACATGAGTTCACCCATCCCCCCCTTAACAATTTTTCGACAAATTTGAGAAAATCACATTTTCGATCTCTCATTGTGAGGAAATTTTTATAGTTGGTTTCATTTGCAAAAACTATTTTATTGAAGAGAAACATAATAAAATGTATTTAAGGGTAGTTACTTTTTAGAAAATAATTTTTCGCAAAAATGCAAAAACACGTAAACTTTATTTAATTATCGCCAGCCAAATATATGTTATATTTTTTCCAAATTTGTTGACTCGAATTTACTCCTGTTTGGCCATTTTTTCTATAAGGAAAAATAATTTTGGGGTAGTTTACCCCCACACAAGTTATTCGACAAATTTGAGAATATCCCATTTTTGATTCCTTATCGTGAGGAAATTTTTCCAGTTGGTTTAATTGTGAAAGATACCGCTGTTATATGTGAAATACTTAAATGGGTGTTTAGTATCCCAATCTTCGAGGACGGTTTTCACCCCCAAAAACCCAATTTGGGTCGACAAAAAAAACGTGTCGCTTAGTTTATCGACTGCTACAACATATGTAAAAACAAAAAAAAATCAGAAGCGGACACCTACCAAGGTTTCCTTGTGAGTCTCTCTTCTTCACACCTTTTAGGAGACTTTCCGTCTAATTTCTTTTTCTCACAACTGAAGTGCTCCCGAGTATAAAAAATGTGTAATTTATCTATTTTATTGCGAGTTTGAGTTAAATCAAAATATATAACAGTAAACTAAAACTAAAAATTGATTACTCTATGATACGTAGAAATTATGAGAATATTCTTAATATCTTTTCTATGGGAATTCAGACAAGTATATCTCATAATAATTTAATAATTAAATATACATATAATACAAATATTGCATTCATATTATTTTGATCCGTACTCATTCAATTCTTAAAATCCCCTATTATCCATTAATCTTTTATTTGCAAAGTGAATTATCAATCTGATTCCTATTCTATTTAATACCCTATGAAGATAACGTTGTTTAAGATCAATTTTATCATTCTGCCAGGAAAGATCCAGATCTGTCAACTTCCCTTATAATTTCAATTATTCAGTAGCCAGACTTCAGAATATAATTATCGCCACACTCAATGTAGTACTTATACTGGTATTTTACAGTTATTCTCAATTCTTCCTTATTGTGAATTACTAAATTTTAATTAGTAAACTTAAAAGTATAACGTAGTAAACTTAAAAGTATAACTATAAGTAGTAAAAGTATAACGCCACCCTCGATAAAGATTCAAAATCTTTAGAGATCTTATAAGTTTTTGAATTAATATTATCGGTCAGTTAACCGTTCAACGATTATCTATGATATCATCTATCTCTTAACGACTTTGGCTCCAAGTAATGTTCCAAATAAAATTAAGGGGGTCCACTGGCGCACAGACCAATTTGACACAAATGACTTTTTACTGCACATTCTGTCCACTTTTAAATAGATGGAATAAAATTAGGTACAAACGATATCTTGATATAGCATATTGTATGTGGTTTAACATTAGTTTACGTTAGATTTGATTAGGTAAGGTTAGGATAGAGTGGAACGTTCAAACTTCGGAGACTGGGTATGTTAGTGGATAAGTAAATGTTTGAAAATGTCCCGTCAGAGAAAGATAATTTACAATATCGTTGAATTACTGATGGAAGATCGCTCAGGAGGCAGAAATTCGCATTTGTGTCCAATTCGGTTTGTGCGCAACTGGGTATCACTTAGATAAAATTAGGAAAAGTTTGACCCTAAAGAGATCAACTAAAACTGGGTATGGTAGCTTTACTTGATTTCTCATTTCCTACTGTATCGAAACTATGGAATCGTCGTTGTGACGTTATACTACATATTGCAAATAAAGGTGAACGGTGAAATGGACATAGTTTAAATATCAAATATAAAAGGTATAAGGTAGAACACCAACCTCCAATATTTCGTCACCAATGTGAAGGCCACCTGTTTTATGTGCCACTCCTTTAGGATTAAGGCCACAGACAAAAACAGCCATTCTATTCCTGTCTTTGTGGCCGGCTAAAGAAATACCCAAGCCACTTCTATCCTTTTCCAACTTGACCATAAGGACAGTATGCCCCAAATTATCATACCTCTTCTTTATTTTTTCTGCAAATTAAAATTAATATATAAATGTTTAGTTAAATTATTTTATTCAATTTGTGAGATACACAAGTACTGCATGAAGTCATTTATCCCTTCGGTGGCACTGACGCCATAGGACGTGAAAAAATGATGCGCCAACAGCAGCATTAAACGTCATATGGCGCACATTGTTTATTTTTTCTCCAATTGGTAAGATTTTCATGAAACTTGATGCTTACGAGTTTTCTGGTTTGCTGAATATGAATTGGAGGAAAAAATTGTAAAATTAAAAATGGTGAAAAATTAAATATATTGGCGAATTTCTATGAAACAAAAGTGTATCATTTTTTTGAGTTAGTGAATAAAAACTTTAAAATTTAAATTGCGCTCTAAAGAATCCTAGTTTTCTGTGAATAAGATTTTTTAATAACTCTAGAACTTATGTGTGATTATGTTCTACAAATTTTCTGTTTTTAACATTTTTCCTAAATTTTGGACCACCATATTCGATCCAGTACTTTGAATGTTATTAATTTTATTCTATTCTCGAATAGCGAATAGCGATATAGCGAATATAGCGAACCAAAAAACTCCCATGTATTAACTTTCATAAAAATTTAATAGCATTTTTATTTTTCCCTTCTTAATACGGTTCATGGAAATTTTCCTGCCGCTCAAAGGATTAATTTCCTTTTGAGAATCAGTAGGGTTACTAGTATAGATCTAATTGTAACGATTTTACTATCGGATTACGAAACTCGCTGTATACAGTGTTTACAAGGTGTCTTACTTTAATTTTTACCTTGAAATACCTCGGAAACAAGAAGTTTTAAGAAAATTTGTTCACACGAAAAGTGTAGAGTTTCGAGGGAGCTAGCAGAAGGTCTGACTGGCTATTTTGTCCGGGGCCTAACTTGGTTTTTCTGAATGACAACTCCTATTGTTGATAATGGTTTTGTATTCTACGCTAAAATACGTAAATTTTAATTGGGCCAGAATTTGGTTTCAGGCTTACATTAGTTTCTGGATTTAGTGTAAGCGCAGAAGACTGTGAGATAACTGGAAAACGAATTAAGAACAAAATGTGAAGAATTATATCGAAGGAAAGTGATCAACAAACTTCGAAGCCTTTTTGTATCTATTGTGTTCTATGTGAGAAATGGTTTAAAAAATTTTTTTTATGTTTTAGCGTAGTTAGAATACAAAACTCAAATAGGGGTAGTCATTTAGAAGAATCGCGTTGGGTTCTGTTTGGGCCCAATATGGGCCGCAGATCGAAAATTCAGTAAAACCTTTTGCTAGCCCCTTGAAACCCTACAACTTTTGTATGCAAAATATTTCTTAAAAACTCCTTGTTTTTGAGGTATTTCGGTGTAAAAAGTAGAGACACCCTCTATATTTCCTTACAGACAGAAGTAAGTAAATCTTAATAAAAAATAATAAAAAAATAAAGATAGATGAGTAACCGATAAAAATTGTTAAGATTTTTAACCTACCGAAATATCGAATTGTCACCACGATACTATGGTTTATTGCAGCTGCATTTTATCGAAAATTAGAAGATAATTACTACACTTTTCTACAAAATTTTAATTTTAATTTTTATAATATAACCGAGATTGTAATATGTGTACCAACTAAATTTTATTTCATTAAATGAAAATCATACAGAAAATTGTACTTTTGTTGGGATCACGCAGAGTTTTGTATCTGTTATTATTTGTGATAAGGTTTTTTAATTCACTGTCACGAGATAAGTCTAGCTATATTTTCAGATAACGTTCACGCTTTTTTGCTCCCTTTGAATTGCCACTCTGTTCAAAAACTACGCTCTTGGATAGATTTGTACAATTATGCCAATGCACCCGAAACGAGTTGCCTGGCAGAGGAAAGCACGTCAAGAGACGTCCACACGAATTGGCAGAAGTCCGGATACAATACCAGTGCCCCAACTGATAGAGGCTGGAGAGAGGGTAGTAGAGATTTAGATACGGTTAAGGACAGGGGAAGAACTCCCTAACTTGAGTTGCCGATGTTGAACCCTGCTTTTGACATATGCCCAGGAGAAGCGGTCCTGCTGGAGGATCTCCCAAACTGCTACGTTACTGATTTAAGAGACGTTGTCGATACAGTTTCAAGGGACGACTAGAAGAAAAGGGTAGTAGTCAGTGGTTAAAGGGATTTCGACCAATCAGAATGATTTGTTCTTGAAAGTGGCCATTTTCAAAGCAATCTGCCTTGGGACGCCAGTAGTATAGCAGGGCCGGTTCTGGATACAGATTCCTGCACCGACATAATACCGACACTCTAGAACCTTCGAAGGTGGGTGTCCGTTCTAAGTTGCCGTCGTGAGCTCTACGATTTCTGGAAGTGACGTCCTCAGGACCCCTCGATTCCAAGAATTTTCGCTCGATTCTGGGAATTTTGCGTCACATTCCAGGAATTTTGCGCTCGATTCTAGGAATTACGCACGATCGAGAATCTTCTAGAACATCCTGGAAGCTTCGACGGTTCGTGTCCGTGCTAAGTCGGGAAGGATCGTTCCCAGTGCCGGCGGTCCTCTCGCGCGACGTTTTGAGGCGGCTCCGTGCCCCCCACCCCGGAAAGCCTTCCAGTAGCTTCGACGGGGCCCGTGCAGGTTTCGAACGGCAGCCCTCAGCCTGTTTGACCTCGAACGTTATCTCGCAGAGTCGTACATCGAGAATGTAGTTCCCCATCCCCCCGAGGTGTCAAATTACTCGTAAGCGCGCGCGACGCAACTTCTTCATCGTTGCCGTCGGAGGAGGGCTGAGGTTCGTCCGAATATTCCGGAAAATGAGAGTTTCCTAAGAACTGTCACAAAAATCTGAGGTGTAGGGTTCCAATGATAAGAATAATTACCCATACAGGTTCATGTAGTCAAAAACAAAATTTTATTGATTACAGTAACTGAATATTTTAGAAAATGCGTTCTCGATTTCGCAATTCGGGTAGGTGGCTTATCGCCCGAACCGACGCAAAACAATTTCAGGAAAACCTTGAAATCTTCATATAGAAGGCCCTTCAATAATGCGCAGCGATCATTGTTTATTAAACCTTCAAGTGCATTATTGCTATTAACGAGATGGATTCTGCAAAGTGTAAAAAGTTGATCGAGGTTATGGAAGTAGCGTATAAACTTCTGAGGAAGGGTTCATCGATGGCAGAAATTGAAAAATGGACAAAATTTAGAACCCAAAATATTAGACTTTTGAATAAAATTTTGAGAAATGTTACTCTTACGATCAGAGAGGAAACCAAAATTTTAACAACGATCGGAATCCTCAAATCTCTGAACGAAAAATTTAAACAAAAACTTCAAAAAAGAGGCGGAGGAACGGCGAGAGAGAGAGAAGAAGGGACAGAGTGTGTTGGGATGATTTGGAATCTGCCTTTAAGGGGAGAATAAGGACTGGAGTGATTGCAAACTTGCGACACAAGGACTTGGGCCGTTTCTTGGAAGATTCCAGAAAATTGTTTACTGCAAGAGTGAAAAACGCACTTCGAAAGGACGGAAATTTGAAGGTGATCGTCTTGAGAAATGATATGAATGTTTATTTCTCTAAAAGAAAAACTGATCCGACTTGTTAGAAATGGTTTTATTACTAAAGGCTATAGAGTAGAAGATTGGCTTGTTCTTTGAACTGATCAGACAAAACTGATCTTCTGTGCGCCCGTGACGAATTTTGATAACACTTGCATGCGTACTTGCGTCTGGTAGGACAGGGGAGAGTGCGATAAACTATTAAATCATAATTTTCGGAATTATTAAAACACTGATAATAAAGTTCTACACATTATAATTCATGAAATATAAGTAATAGAAGTGATATGCAATATAGAAGAAAAATTGTTAGCTAAAAGTATAAAAAAATGAATTCCACAAAAATTGTTTAAACATGTTTAGTTTTGCAATATAAACATATAATTAAGCGATATTGAATTATCTGTTATAGAAAATCATAGAATTATCTGACAAAGTAGGACTGCAAAGAATATGTTGATTAATTTATAAGATGAACTTTATAAGAACAAATCGTGCGAAAAGACATAGTAATAATAATAATAATTCCGGATATTCGGCTATTATCTCCACTATTGGAATAACTACTAGCAGTCTCTTCTTAATTATCTAGGCAAGAGTATGTGGGCCTGGAAAATTTAGACACTGAATTCGAACAGTGTTGGGCAAAGTCTGTATTATGTGTAATTCACTTAGGTTTTTGTCAGAAAACTGATTGGTGAATGTTACCAGGAGAAATTCACGCAAACATAGATCTTTTCAGTCGACATCTGCGATGTTATCCACCGAGCTGGTCGTCTTAGAAGAAATAGTAAAACGCAGAAAGGTCGGACACGCTGAGCCCTCGAAGTGTGAAATATTTAGTGAAACTCCTAACCAATTTATCAATGATCACTCGTGGAAGTACTATTAATATATTGGCAGTATATCTACGTGCAAACATGGCAAACTTTGCCATAAAAGCTATAGAATGACATTTTCTACACTCTCAATTTTCTGCGCTCCTAAATGAGTTTCATAGTTAAAGTGTTTCAAAGTATTTATGTTTTAATCTTCTCAGTTCTGTAGGCGCTTTAATTTACTTTTAAAATATTTCTAACTCTATTCACCGTACATTTTGTTATAATGGTAATATCGATGATAAAAATAATAGTATTAAGAGTATATTTCAAATGGTAATATCAAAAGCACAACTATTAATTGTGCCAATTTTTTGTATACTCACTCGCCGTGTAACCGAACTCGTCTTCCGGCTCAGGATCGGCTTGTATTTCTTCTTTCGTTCGTTTTACGTTGCCTGCACTTTTTCTTGAAATCTGCAAGGAGATAATTAATTATTTAATTATTCATTATAGATTTGACTATATCATTAACAACGAGCAACGTTGGGCTGTGATCTTTTCCATTGTGTTTATTTCTCGACGGTACCGACGAGACTACAGACATTCGCGGATGCCCACTACATACAAAATAGGATTAGAGTAAAACAAATGGTACCGAAATCCCATACAGACAATAAATCATGTTCCGAAATTCACTGCCAGTACTACGAGTATCGTTTTGTCCCTGTTTACCTGTATGCAATAGAATGAGACACAACCATACTCGCAGTGTTGGCAATGAATTTCGGAACGTACCCAATGTCACTTGAGTTACATGTGCTTTCTTTCACGGTGACGTTGTACGAAGATTATGTGAACGCATCCCGAAACTTCAGATGGGTAAGAATATATGGTACGTCTGAGAATCGTCGTACTCTTACTATCAGACTCTATGAGCTCAAACCTATTTTCATGTATAAAATGATGTATTGTATAAGCAATACTCTTATTTAGATACATACTTGTATGCATAAGGATTGGTTCAAGCTCATAGAATCTGATACTATAAGGACGAGGATTCCTTCACTTGTGTCTTGCCCATCTGAAATTTCGGAGTGCGTGCGCCTAACCTTAGCGCAGTATTAGAGCGCAGAGCACGTGTAACTCAAGTAAAATTATTTGCATGGACCTTCGGTAACATTTGTTTTACTCCAATCTTATTTTCATTTCTAATGCTTTGCTGCATCCAGTATATAGTGGGCATCCGCGGATGAATTCAGCCTCATTGGTACCGTCGATAAATAAAACTAAAGAAGAATAATTGTTGCCCATTGTTGCCAATCCTTAATTGTTTAATGATTGTTAAACGGCTCTAATGCTTGTTCTAAATCGTAGTATAGCTGGGCTTCTAGAAGCTTCGATGGTTCGTGTCCGTGCTAAGTCGCTGAGGATCGCTCCCAGAGCCGACGGTACTCTCGCGCGACGTTTTGATGGAGCCCCTTGTCCCCCACCCCGGGGAGCCTTCTAGAGGCTTCGTTGAACCCCCTTTCTCCCTCCCGATCCGTGTAGTCTTCAGCCGTTTTGACCTTAAATGTTATCTCGCAGAATTGCGCATCGAGGATGCAGAAGCAGGATCGATTCCAGGAAATTTGTCGGCTCTCGTCAGCCATTCGATTCCAGGAAGCCTCCGTGCAGGTTTCGAACAGCAGTCCCCCGCCCTGAAGCTTTCGATGACTCCCCCGACTCCCATGCAGACTTCAGGAGGCAGCCGGACACTGTTTGGACCTTGTTATTCATGGTATCGAATTACTCGCAGAAGATAAGCGACCCTTTGTGCACTTCGGAAACTTTTTGATGTAGCGTTCGAGCTCAAAGTGTGCAAATCGGGTAGATGTCTTATCGCTCGAACCGATGCAAAACAATTCCAGGAAAACCTTGGAAGCCTCGGGCAGATTCGTGTAAGTCGAAATGGTTCTCGCAGGCGCGGTGGTGGGATCAAAGTCATTCTAGAAACATCTATGTATTGGTTGTTCAAATGCGCAATACTGAACGTTATCTCGCAGAATCGTGCGTCGAGAATGCAGTCCCTCATCCTCCGAGGTGTCAAATTACTCGTAGGAGATACATAAGCGCGCGACACAACTTCGTAGGAAAAAGGCTAAGGCTAATCCGAATGTTCTAGAATGTAAATCGCTCCGCTTGGAAGATGCATCGACCTTGACATTGATTCCAAGAATCTCTGTCGGCGATTCGATTCCTAGAAATTTCCGAAACCTCCCATCCCCATTTCAGCCCTTAAGAGTTTCCTATAAAAGGAGGAGCTGAACTTGCCTTCGTTAGTTTGCTGTGACAATTCGACTGATGTTAAATAAGAGGAAACAACGCGAGCTCAGAGTTCGAATACAGTTACTATTAACCCTTTTAGTGCCAGACGACGATATATCGTTGCGTATGCGATGGCACCTTATTCTTCGCATCGCGAGAAAGCTCTATCACAAAATAAATGTTGAAATACAATTAGCATTACATTAGTCTCTCTTCCTTCCGTAATACGTTGTTTTTTGAATCATGTAATTATCTTTTTTAGTTTGATTTTTATGACCTTTTTCCTAACTCGTTGTAAAATTCGTCAAATTCGTCTGTTTATTCTCGCATAGGCACCGGTTTTTCGCCCGGCACTAAAAGGGTTAAGGAACATCGCGGAAGTGAAACATTTGATCGAAGCTAAAAGAAATTATAACAGCGTTCTACGAAATCTAAAAAAACTTCATCTACAATAAAAAATGGATTTCTCAACAATTAACAAAGTCGGTCGTTTAGATGACTATCTTCCGACAAAGAAATTGGCTGAGTTGGAACCCCAGAAAGATTACAAAGTCATCAGAATAAGAAAAGTTCAAACCAAATATGGAACGAGACTAGAAGACAGCTTTTCGATGTTTCTACCTGCAAGGATGGCTAAAGCTTTTAATGACGACGAGGATCTATTGAAGAAGATCATGCAAGCCTGTGAGGAGAATCGAGTCCTCATGCGCTATCTCGGCGGACGGTACGACCAGATCGAGTTCCAATGTCTATAAACTTTGTACTAGTGCTTTAACTACTATGTATACGTGTTAAATAAATATATATCTTATTATATCTTATGTCTTTATTCATAATACAACAATATACATTCCGATAACCAGTTCCTTAACAATGTCACATTTTCATTTGAGCAATTAAAATGTGGAGCATGATGATTTGTACATCGAGTAAGCGAGTTTTTGCGCAATTTTTGCAACGAAGGGAATCCCAGATCTCCCAGATCCACGATGTACTCGGATCGTCCAATGAAACCTCCCAACCAAATTTTCTTCTCCAATCCTTTTACATAGATCTTAGATGCATTTTGTAAGATGACTCGAAGAATGTTTCTAGCTTGATTGTAAGCAACGTCTTCAGCGCTCCAGGATATACCATGAAAATTGTGCTCCACCCACAAATTTATACTTTTGTATGTAGCCGGTAGATGCTTCCATGGACGAGGTGGTTGAAAGAGAAAAGTTGCAGGCTCGGAAAAATTGCTACCGACTCCAATCACGGATAGCTCCTTCAGGCCTCGAACTCGTTCGAGGGTGTCTTCAAACCTTGTACGTCCACGATGAATTCCATTTTTTCGATGAACTGCGCAGGGAGAGACGATTGCAGCCTCTTTATACACATTTTTTCACCCCACCACTGATCGTGTTGTATTCGATGCAGGATCGTGCAGGATCAGGCAGAATGCCGATGTATCATCAGGGAAATTGTCTTGCGCCTCAAATTCCAGACGAATATCGACAGATCCAAGTTAGTAGTTACATACCACTTCTGGCCTTCACAACAAACCCTCACCACTATCCCCCATAAGTCATGGAGCGCGCAGCGCTCTGGCTCGCCACGCCGTGCTATGACGTCACCCGCCTCGTCGATGTGCCCGGCTCTCCCCACCTCTCAGCCATGAGGCGATGCCCCACCATGCGGACCTTGTCCTAAGGCCCGAAACGCAGTAGCAGCGGGGTTGCATGCCCCCCAGGGGCCTATCACGGCCGGTAATTATGCATTGACCGCCGGTCGGTAACTTTTTAATTGTCCTAAGGAGATAAGTGTACCCGTGGTAAAATAGAACACCTTATTTTGCAAGACACATTATGTATATTATAAAGCTGTAGCGCATGATACATTTTCGATACCTTTAGCTATCGATGGGTGGATATTCAACCCCCTAATATTTTACTCGGGATGAACCCTCTATATACAGGGTGAATCACGAATCGTGATCAGTAGAGATTACTTTGTTATTAGCAGTCCGATCGAAAATGTTTTTATCAGCTTTTGCATGGTTTCAAGAGAGCTTTAACGTGATAGTGAAAAATTACTGGTCAACTCTTTTTTTCAATGTTTTTTTCAAGGTTACCTTGAATTTTTTGCAACAGAACATATAATTTTTTTACGCCTGCCTGTTAGAGGATTTCAAAACGAATTCGGCACATGTGAGGACATGACATTTTTTCCATCTGGTTCGAAAGAAAATTAAAAAATTTTGTATCACAAGGAGAATCACAGCTACGCCGTTATACGCGTGTTTCTCCGGAAGTAGTTAAGTGTGCCCTTTTTCTTAGGAAATAAATTAGGAAAATTAGTATAAGAATAGTGATACAAAAAATTGTCCCTATTGAATAGGAGATAGGTGATGATATGATATCTACGAAGGTATCGATATTATCCCCTTTTAGGTTATTTTCTATTTCTGACATTTTCTGGCTTAGTGCACTTAGTTCGCTAGGGTCCTTTATGAGATTTCTTAGCTTAGGTTGTATATTATTGTTATTAGGTACAATATTTGGTACATAGTTATCAGTAATAAGTGTTAGGTTTAGAGGAGGTAAATAGTTTAAAGTTACGTTTAACTTATATTTTCCTTCGGTTTCTAGAGTGAAACCTTCGGCTGTTAGTTTACATTTTCCTTTTATTTCAATTATACCTGAGCCTTGCATAACTACCCTTTTTGGATTTTCATTATTACATGATACCATCATTTGTTCTGGTTTGTCCGCTACATATAGCCAAGAATTGGGGTTCTCCATTTCGATTAAGAGTGTGTTTTCAATTTTGATTTGCCTTGTTTCGCAGGATAGAGGGTACGACGATGGATTTGTAAAAAGTTGGGTTTCGCAGGAACCGTATGGTCTAATTTTGAATACTGGGTGCCTTGCTTCACACAAGTATTGATCCTTAATTTTCTTACAGTTGTCCAATTCGGTTCGCGTCATCCTGATGAACGTTTGCATGTCGTGTCCCACTATTGCGTAGTTTTCTTCCGCCTTTATGTAAGCGTACGTGCCATTTCTCATGTGGACAGGCAGAGAGTGTATTCTGTTTACGTGGTACTCTTGGGATGATGTCAGCGGTATCTTGATTATTGTAACGATGGATTTACCTTCACTATAGGCCACTATTTCTGAAATTTCCTTGAGGTATCTAGCGTTTTCGGGTGTCAAGGCTATTGGGTAGTTTAACCCTTGAGGTAAGTGTTCTAGAGATTGTTTCAGTAGTTTAATTATTTTTGGATATGATACTATTCCTGGATATTAGATTCCCTTTTGGATTTCTACCAGATATTCTACAAAATCCTGAACACATCCATGGAACATTTCGATGTATAGCGAGAGGATAATAAAATGTTCATCGAGTTCTTCTCGGATAGATTCCAGTCTGAATCTTTCGTCCATTTGTTGTTTAATATGAGATGTGAGGTTAAACAGCATCATCTCGTTGTGTTCAGCGTTAGCTGCAGTTTCGTTTATCATCCGCAAATTTGCTTTGGTGATCTGCACCTGATTTTTTAAAGCGGTTTTTAATGCGCTTCCTTCTTTATTAAGAGCCGTTATCTGCTCATTTATCAGTTTGGCATCTTCGGCATCCATTGTACCAAGGATGTACATTGTCATTGTACCATCATTGTACAAGGATTTGGCTAAAGATCCTAGTCCGTCAATTAGTCCTCTTTTCCTTTTTGATGGTGGATCGAGTGTGGTTTCCTTAACGTATTCTAATTTGGCTTCTATTTCCTGAAGACGAGCCTTAGAAGAAGTGCTGAAAGCCTTGCATATTGTTTGCAATTCTAGAGTGGTTGTTCCACACATTTTTTTTCTTTTCGATAAGTAATGCTTGATGGTGGCCTCTCTTTCAAATATGGGGCTTAGGTCAGTGTGAATGACCAACTTCCAAGTATCCTTATAGTTCACAAGGTTTCCCATTCTTTCGAAGTATATCCCTGGAGTAGTATCGAATTCTCTTATCGTCAGTTGCTGAGCTGGTGCGTTTTGGATTTGGGTCGTCCCGAACCATAGTGTGGTGAACCTGCAACATGTGCAGTTTGGCATTGTACGAAAGGTAAGTAGAAAATTGCCATTGAGCTTTTTGTGACGTATAAGTTTTGTAGGTATATAAAGCATGAATTAGCTGTGGCTGTGCATTAGACAGATTGAACATGTGTCCAAGTAATTCTTCAATTTCAAGGGTGGCGGAAAAGGCTCCTTTCCCTACAGGGATAAGGGTCCTTTCTGAGGCGGAGAGGACCGCCGACCTTTTACGGAGGACAGAAGTTGTTCTCCGGAAAAGGATTGAGAGGGCGCTAACTATTTCGTTAGCCGGAGTGAGTATTTGAACTTACATTTTTTTTTTTTAATTTGCTTGTCCTTTGCATTTATTCATTGTCTGTTTTCCCCTTTTTTTGTCTAGCTCGATTTCATCAATATTCGCGAAATGCGAATGAGAAGGCGAGTCCGGGCGGATCTCCGTTCCCAGGTGGACTGGCACTGGGGAGAGGGGAGTGTAACGGAGCCAGACCTTTTCTGCCTCCGAAAGCTATTCGAAGAGGAGGACTACGAACCTGAGAGTTGGTTCTAGTCTCAAAATATGTTATAAATACTTTTTTTGTCTAAATAAATTATATTGTTTTAAATTTATCCATGTATACCTGTTTGTACGTTATGCCGCCGTCGAACCACTCTAGACCATGTTGATAGCGTGTGATGGTGTTGTTTTCGCTTCTGATCGCCGATGGTAATTCATTGAAATCACAGGGCGATGAAACAATCCAGTGGCCTATGTATCTTCTTTCCACAGCCACAACGCCGATCTTCTTCGGAGCCAGACGCCCCTCGGAGTCTTTGAAGTACTCGATCTGGATCCCGAAATTCATCGTTGCGATGCTAACTCGAAGGCGTTCAACGAGAAACTGACGGCAATGCTGACGATAACAGGCGATACCGAGTGCACAAAAAGACGATGACGTATACCCCAAATTGCTGACCAGTGTATTTTCTTCGATTGTTTATCCGCCGTAATCTACGACGATCTGACGCCAGGCGTTGATCTCCAGAACGTTATCGTACTCTGCGTATACGATACAGTTCACGGTGGTGGCAAGCGGTTCGTCGAAGCGTATCTCAATTCGTACACTACCGTGCTTGATCAGGTTCCAGTGGGTGTTGCTATTTGCCGAGAGATCGGGTGTGAGATCGAAAACGAACAGGCAGTAGCCGTCTGCGTAAGCGTTCCTAGATATCGAATTACCCTCGTTGAGGAAGTGTATACCCGTACCACTGAAGAGGGTATGATACGCGTCCACGTAAAGACCGGATTTGCCGAAATCGGTCCGCAGTGCTTTTCAGGATACTTGAACACCGTCGACGTACAGCGATCAGAAATTAATACGATAGTTTTTAAAATTGAACGGGTTGAGTTGATAGTTGCCGTTGAAGGCCTTGTTATCGACGAAGCCTATTATAATCCGCTTAGGTAATTGACCGAGAATTACATTGTCCATCGTGCCACCGTGCAAACCGGCGTGCATTGTCAGCGCCTTGACCTCTACACGTATAAGCGGATACTTTGCCGTTGTCTTAGACAGCATTTTAGAATGAGCAATTAGAATACCGGGGCTTATTTTGGCGCGTCTAACGAGGAGCGTGGCCTCCGTTATATGTAAAGAACACTCGCTGTCGGGGTCCATGAGGGAGAAACCGTCTGTCGTACGTACGAGCCGTAAACGGAGCTCAACACCATTTAATAAAAAGTTTTCTTGGTTAAACACATCGCAGTGTAAATGACCGATCAGATCGACCGTCTTGTCTTTACCGACGAATGCCTGCCTATTCACGAGACCCATATTCTTGCCAGCTGTATCGTCCATATGACCGGGCGTGTCATCTTACCAGAGCACGCTCGAGAGATGTGACCCCTTAGCGGCTGGCCCATAATTTAATAGCGTCTCTATATAGGCCGTGTAAGCGCACGCGTTATTAGGTGGCGATACGAGTTTCTGATTAAGAAGCACGTCCACCTGATTGAAGAGCGAGTGTAGCAGATTGTTAACAGGGGCTGCTTTGCTCAGAGCGTCAGGAGCTAACGCATCCTTGGATCGCAGCTGTACGCGTAAACTCAGCATGGTGTAGGCTAGATCGAGGTATTCGTCGCCGTTACCCGGCACGACAAACTCAATGGGCGAGTCATCGGTCAGCGATGAGATGGGCTTATAGTGTACCCACTGGGCGCTCTTTATAGTGGCCTGTGTCGGTGGTAGTGTAAAGAGCGCGAGTTCCGATTTCATACACTCGCACGAGTGCGCGTGTAGGAAGGCCATGATAAAGATAGCGCTCAAGAAAAGATATCCAGCAAGCTCCGCTTGTTTTTTATGTTACTACCGCTCCTACCACTATTTTTTGGCTTCTTGGTTTTTGCCTTTATTTTTTTACTACCTTTTTTCAACGCAGAGCAGACTTCTTTCCCGTACGACTCTTACGCTTGTTAGCAGCTCTTGAGGCGTTGCTCCTTTCAGCGGCACCGATGATAGAGTGGGCACCGCGTGATCGTTTTACAGCTTTATAGCCCGATTGAAAACGAGAGCACTTTTATGGCGGCGTACGCGTATTTGTTCTCCGTTTGCAGGGGAACCACACGAAGCAAGGGTGTTTGGACGTCTCCGGTGATATACGGCTCGCAGACATCGGTGTAAACAAAAAGTATCTTAGGTAGGGCGTTGATCAGGCTAATCGGTTGATCGGCCATCAAAACGGGCTTTGCTTTCGATGCCACGACCGATTCGGGAAAACCTAGGATGCGTGCCAGAGATCGGCAGAGTCTCAGTTCGTCCGGGTCGTCTAGATCGTTATCGGTAGAGACGAACGATACGCTCGCGTAACCACCTCTACAGAGCTCTAATTTCAGACGGCCCTTCATAGCCCTGGGTTTGCTTTCGATACCACGACCGACTCGGTAAAATCCAGGATACGTGCCAGAGAGCGGCAGAGTCTCAGTTCGTGCGGGTCGTCTAGATCGTTATCGGTAGAGACGAACGATACGCTCGCGTAACCGCCTCTACAGAGCTCTAATTTCAGACGGCCCTTCATAGCCCTGGTAGCGTTTATTTCGTCAACGAGTGTCT